TTTTGGTATTTTTTATGCTTTCTGAATGCCTCCAGGTAGATGTGATCAGGAAATTGGCTTCCTTTTCACTCTTCTTCTTGAGAAATTTCAAGATGCCACTGTTGGTCGTTTTGATGTAACTTAGGATTTAATTTTCTGCTTATTTCCTCTTTTGTCTGCTTGTTCCACTCCACAATCTTTGTTCTGGCCTTTTTTCTAGTTGTAAATAGTTCAGGGCCGGCTGTGGCTGTTTGGTTTTAATTGAAAACTGTCTCTTTAAATTTCGAGGAGATCTGTGCGCACACATAGTAGAACCCTTCAAGGGTGGGGCTGGGGTGCCCACTAGCTCAGGCACCCCTATAGTCACCAGAATGGAGGTATGCAGACAGCAAGGGACCAATGAACAGCTACCAAAAGAAAAGAGTGTCCACACCTTTATCTCAGTGGTTCTGCCAGGTGTCTGTGGCCGCTCCGATCCTTCCCCTGCTTGGTCTCACCCAAGATGGCGGCTCCTGGAGCAGCTGAGCATCCCAGGTAGAAAGCAATGGATTTCTTGTTTCTGCCACAAATTCCCCAGCTGTAAGCCTTCTAGCCTTCTAAATATTCCTTTATATGTGGTTCAGAGTTCTGGGACCATCCCCTGAGCCTGCTTGGCAGAGCTGTTGCTGGCAGAGCTCTTTACTGCACTTCCACCCGATCCGCCATCTTGTTTGTTCTTTGCCTGACTCTTTTGCACATTAACTTCCTGTGTCTGACAGTAGTGGATTGCTGAGGTGCCAGGTGAGAGGAGTGCTGGCTGTCAAGGTGAAGGTCATGTGGCTCGCTGACTGGGCCACGACTCTGGTAATGATGTGCTTACCCTCCCTTTTCACATAGCACCAGTTTTTCCTTAATGGCTTAGCCTTTGGAGCCTTAACCGTGTCAGGTGAGGAGTGCAGGTGTTTAAAGTTTTGGCTTGACAAAAAAAATAAATAAAGGAATTGAGAGAGAGAACTGGTCCAAAGAGCAGACCCAAATTGTGTTGCCTGCTGGTTCAGAATGTAGCAGATGGGAGGTGTGGCTGCCAAAGAGACTGGTGCTCCAGCTCAGGGCTCCGCTCGGGCTGTACTTTCACAGGCTCCTTCTCCGGGCTGGCTATCTCCAGGCTCCGTGTGAGGTGCCACGTGGCATAGAGAGAGCAGCCCAATACTGCCTCTGTTTTCCGGGGTTCCTGGTCTACGTGGAGACAGGAAGACAGCTAAATAACAGGGTACAGAGCAGGTGTGCCACAAGAGGAACTCTCCTGAGCAGAGAGAAGCTTGCCTGAGCCAAGCCCTGAAGGGTGTGCAGAGCAGGGGCTCAGTGTGGGAGCAGAGGAGAGATTCAGAGCTAAGGTTGGTTGTGGGATCAACGCTGCCCTAGCATTTTGGGTGTTCTATTCAGTCTTCAAGGAGCTCTGGTAGCGTAGTGATTACGAATCGGGCTGCTAATTTCACGGTCAGCAGTTTGAAACTACCAGCTCTTCCGCAGGAGAAAGATGAGGCGTTCTGCTCCTGTAAAGATTTACAGCCTCAGAAACCCTGTGCAGGGTCGCTATGAGTTGGAACCGACTTCCATGGTACTTAACAACAACAACAACTCAGGCTTCAGTGGAGGGGACAGCGGTGGTCAGAGCTGAGGAGGGAAGGCCCACCAGCCAGCAGGGGGTCTGAGTCAGAGTGATGAGAGACTGAAAGCCAGGCCCCAGCAGGGACGCAGAGGAGGCACAGGAATAAGGCCTCCAGCCGGAATCCCCGGAACTTTCTGTTCATGTCTGGGTGCTTTCTCTCTAAAGGATTGTCGGGACAATCTGACCTTAGCTAAAGGAGGATGGCTCTACAGATCAACCGTGGTAAATGGAGGAAGGGACGGAAGCTGTTTATTATGGAGGAGAGGACATGTAAGGCTGGGCGCCAGTGGGGCTCAGGAGAGAGACACCACCATTGCTGGTAGAGTGAGTACAGGCCAGGAGCCTGCGTAATACTAAAGTGAAACATTTATTGAAAGTGAAAAAGACGGCTTGAGCGGGAGCCACAGTTCCTGGAACAAAGGGGAACCGAGCTCTCTGTAGGAGGAAATGGCAAACACAGATTCAGGTAGTGGGAATCGGAATTTTAAGGTACACGGTTTTGAATGGAAGTAACAAAATTACATCAACCTACGGTGGGCTTACTTGAAGCATGAATTTGAAAGGAATTGTTTTAAAGTACCTTGGTTACAATGTGATACATGCATAGCAATGACCATGAAAGTGGTGGTCACCAGGTGGCTACAACATAATTGTTAGGTGCTGTCAAGTCTGTTCCCATAGCAACCCCGTGTAGGGTTTCCAAGGAGAGGCTGGTGAGCTTGAACTGCCGACCTTGTGGTCCAGTGCATTAACCCGCAGCACCACACCAGGCCGCCACAACATAATTATAGAGCAGTATTTCCTTAAAAGCAGTCTATTCAGGGGAAGCTTTTCCTGTGAGTATTCGCACAGCAAATTTAAATAAGCTTCTATGTCAACATGGCCTCTCACATACTGCTTCTGCATCTTTAACTTGGGAAAACATTTTCTCAGATGCATGAGTAAGTCTTCCATAAAGGCTAGATTGTACTCGGAAGTCTCAGGAAAGGGGCATGGGAATGGGCCCAAACTGCAAGCCAAGTGTTTGACTTTACCAGGCAGTTGATTTGAAATTCGGTTTCACATTCTCTCCTTTATATCAAGAATTTCAAGAAAAGTGCTTATGTCAATTTACTGACCACTGTTTGAAAGAAGGCCTTCTTCTGCGTAGATTCAGAGTACGTGGTTATTCTGCATGACCTTTAACATGCCTTTAAGACCCCTGATGCCACCAGACGCATTGGTATACACCATCCAGTGTCTCCACAACACTGTAGTGCTTGCCTCCAGTTTCTGGGATCTCCTCTAGCTTAGGGGTGGGCAGGGTAAGTCCACAGCAGGGAGATAAAACCTGGGGTCTGAAAAAGCCCCTGAATGAGGAGCCCGCATCTGCCTGATATGTGAAAACTGTCATCGTGCGTTATTCTCCCCATGGGCATGTCGTCCTCTGAGTTAGCAGCATTTGCGAAAAGTTTCACGCAGCATCTGACAACTCTTAAAAGTATTGCAACAGTCATTGATATGAAACCGAATTATTGGTTGAATGTAAAACTGATGATCTTGTCTGTAACCTTCACAGAATTCACTGTAAAAAAAGAGGAACCTCATCAATAAAGTGAGAAGATAAAACCTAGTGCACGCTGACAGTTTCCCTATTTCAGGCAGATGCGGGCTCCTCATCAAGGAGTTCTTCTTCAGAACGCATGTTATCCCTCTTCTGTGGCTTCCTGCATGACCCAAAGCTAGAGGAGCCCCCAGAAGTTATGGATTGAGCCATGTCCCTAAACCTGTGTCCACTTGAGAAGGCCTTTTTTCCCAGTACTGTGTGGTTGTCCTCCGCCTTGTGGCCTGACGTCTTACGATGCGCTGCACATCCAAACCTCCATGAGTTCATGAGGCAGGCTGAGCTTGGGGTGGGCCTTAAAAGAGGGCACGACTCAGTCAAACCTTTCAATCCCTTTCTCGCCCCCCACCCCTGGTGTGGCGCTGTGGGTTAATGTACCAGATTGCAAAGCCATTTGAACTGCAAGGTTGGAGGTTCAAGCTCATCAGCTGCTCCCTGGAAACCCGATACAGGGTTGCTATGGGTCGGGATTGACTCAGTGGCATTTAACAACAACCCTATTTAAGTCATGCCGTCTCAAATCACACCTTCGCTCCTCACACCCTTGCCTGACTCACATCTTTTCTCTTTACAAGCGTTAAAAGGAGTGAGCAGAGGGGGAAGTAAGACTGGGGAGCAGAGCACATCCATTGGACTCAAACTTCTGAGACCCTCCCAGACCCGGGAGAAGATTGGTGCTAGAACACAGGAGAGCTCCCAGAAATGCCAAGTTCATAGCTGTTGAAAGGAGACTAGAACCTTCCCCCAGAACCAACAGAGAGAGAGAGCCTTGCTCTAGAACTGGTGCCATGAATTCGGAGTTCTAGCTTCCTCAACTGTGAAAGAATAAAAACTGTTAAAGAAAAAAAAAAATCTACATATATGGTCATTAGTCCAGTTAACAATACTAGGGAACTTCAAAAAGTTCATGGAAAATGGAGTGAAAAGATAGTGGACTTTTTTCCATGAACATTTTAAAGCCCTTTCATATAGACATAATCCACGGTCCAGCGCCTTTTGGGCGACCAGCTAAAAATACCAAAGAAGAGGGAGTCACTCAATATTTTGTTCTACTATACTAGAGTTCTAGTAGGGTAAGCACTGAACTGCTAAATGTAAGTTTGACAGTAGGAACCCACCAGCTGCTCCTTGGAAACCCTATACAGGATTGCTGTAGTCGGAACCGACTCGACGACAGCAACATGACTCCGAGGTATTTACCCATGTGTAACTGGAGGCGTTTGCTCCTCCTTGTTACACAACGTAAAATCAAGGGACATTCTTTGTCTAGCACTATGGTAACAAGGGAGTCTAAGGACTTTTGTCAAGTTTCTATGTTATTAGCAAGATCATTCGTTACTTGTAGCATTGTTGTAGGCAGATTGCAAATGGATTTCTCAAGCTCAGGAATTTACTAGTGGAAAGCAGGTCTCAGAGAAACATCCATCCCTCTCCAGGTTTACCTGTCATGAGGTTGTTACTTGGTTCCCTTCTATTCTGGGTACGGAGTCTTAGCTTGATAGGCTAATGGAAACTCTCCTTGTCAAAGTTTCATGGAATTTCAAGAGTTCCCAAGGTGCATTGACCATGTGAGCAAGGTAGAGCCAAGTAAAGTTTGTTGTCAAAGTTTTCCTCTAAATATTCTGATCCTCCTGGTAGGGCTATGAATATACAGGTCAGACCTGCCTGAGATGGGGCAGGGCTAGGGCTGCAGGGACATAGGACACCTTATACAGGGTCGCTAGGGGTTGGAATCGTCTCGATGGCACTTAACAACATATTCAACATGGACCCCTGCTGTGGTGCTGTAGGATAAGCACTGGACCACAGGTCGGTTTGAACTGGAAGGTCAGTGGTTCAACATTTACCAGTCACTCCTTGGAAACCCCATACAGGATCACTATGAGTTAGAAGCGACTTCACAGCATTAACAACAACAACATAAAAATATGTATCCAGGTGATGCACAAAGGATTCTGTTTCTGTGTGAGACTCAAAAGCTGGATTTGCTTTTTGAAGCCAATTTTTAGTGAGGGAGTTATTAAAAAAAAAAAAAAAAGACAGTCATCTTAATTCTGATTGTCTTTTGATACAGGAACAAATTGAGGCTTTTGATCATGTGTGTCTGTAATGTTGTATATCGGTTGTTCTTAACAAAAAGAATAGGCGTCCATCTCCATAGAAATGTGTCCAAATGAGAGAAAAACAGGGTCGCTCCTCGAAACCCTACACAGGGTCTCTGTGAGTCGGAACTGACTCGACAGCACTTAACAACAAAAGGGTAAGTAGGGATATTGGATGGATGCCATAGTCTAATGTGAATGGCTAGTGCCCCTTAGGAAATTGGCCACAAAATTATAATGAAACACTGGCAAGAGCAGCACCTCAAAATGATCATTTCCAACTTTGGGGATTTGATGGCATGTCTAGCAATCAGTCCGGCTATTGGCACTAGCTCCTGGAGTGGCACTGTGTAGGATCAGCACTGGACTGCTAACCACAAGGTTGGCAGTTCAAACCTACCAGCCACTCCTCAGAAACCTGATACAGGGAATCGGCTTGACAGCACTTGACAATGACAACTGATCCAGCAAGCTTAACAAAGGCATTTTCCCCAGACGTTCGTTAGAGCTACACCTGAGATAAACTTCGTAAGGAAGGAACACTGCCCAGAAATCAGATACAAGAATAAAAACTACAGTAGAAATTAAATGTGTTCCCCTGGTTATTAGCATACATGAGGCTAAAATAACGAACAAGAGGTAAAGTAGGAAAATAGTTAAAATATTAAAGCAAAAGCTATTTTAAAACTTTATTGACATTATCACAGGAATTATGGAACAATGAAATTCTGACCAACTTAAAAAACATTCATCAAAGAGCAACAATGTTTATTGTTTCTGTTTACCAAAAGCATCATGAAAGGTTACCCCAAGTATGTATAGTACATGTCAAAGTAGAGGATACTAAGATCCAAGACACAGGGTCCAAACAGTCCGAATTCTCTTCTAATGTGTATGTGTCTTGTCCTATGATCTTGGGTTTCACTGTCTGTCTCTGGTGCAGTTGTCTGGGGCGTGTGGATTTCAGCTTCAGTCCTTTTTCATTGGATTGGACAGGGTAGGTAGAGCCGGGGTGGCCTTTAATTGAGAGATGGATCCAGGTTTGAACTCCCTGTAATCTAGTGGTACAATGGTTAGTAAGGGCTCTAAATCACGTAAGGGATGGCTATTTGTTTTTATTTAAAAAAATGTTTTATTGTGAATTATGTCTTAGTTTACATGGGAGAACATTAGTTTGACGTTCATCCTATCGTAAATGGTTTCATTGCCATGGTTACAATCCCCTCTATACATCATCAACCAAACAAAGGATATACACTACAAGCCTTTCCCCCCACCCCCCCGGGTCGTCAGCATACAGTCCCTCTCCCTCTCTGGGTCTAGAGTTCCCACTGCTCCGTCTCTCCACAACATTGTCTCTGCCTCCATCTCTGGCGTTATTGCTTCTCTGGGTAGGGTCACGCATTCCACTCTTCTCACTTCATGGTCCCAGGGACAGCCGCTCCTGGACTGCAAAGTCAACCACTCCCCTCCTTTTACTACAGAACGTCTACCTTTACATTTCCAACCCTCACAGTCAGTCCTGATAGCAATTATTCACTATTGTACCACATGAGTGCTAGCCA